GTGTGTGTGTGTGTGATTTTGTAGAAAGCAGAGAGGGACCCGGAGGAGATGAGAAGGGAGATGGAGCTGCAGCTGGAGGCCTGGCACAAACTGGCTCCAGGAACTCAGAAAGAGGTGAGGCTGACCCTGGAGCTGTGTCCCAAATAAATCTTGGGTTTCTGCTGGTCCTTAGTAAATTACATTTCGACTGGTGTTAAAAATGAGTGGTCGAAGTCAATATTACTTTTATCAAATTCAAGATAAAAATTAAATGTTCCGCTGAATGTAAACTCATTCATTTACTGAGTAATTCTGGGACTAATGTCCTTTTGTACTTCTTTTGCCAGCATGGATGTGAAATAGGTCTTAAAGCAGTAAACAGTTTTGTTAAGACCCTCAGTGCAGTTTATTATTCTTCATATAGAATGTTAAACATATGTACAAGCTGTTTCAAGAAATTTGCCTGCAAAGTAATACTATATAAGAACATTTTGATAAATATGTCAAATAGGTGTCTCCCTAACATAAGCCATATCCAGGTCCAAATTATGTACTGTAGTACATAATTACACTGTAGTTGTGATTGTATGAAGCCCAGGTTGTAACTTGTGACTAACGTGTTCTCGTCTGTGTTCCAGGAGAGCGCAGCAGCGTCCATGTGGCACCAGTACCAGAACCTGACCTCAGCTCTGTCCCAGCAGCTGTGTGAGCAACTCCGCCTCATCCTGGAGCCCACACAGGCCGCCAAACTCAAGTCAGGACCCAGCACACTCAGTACTTGGTGTTGTAATGGAAGCTTTACATTGTTGTTACGTTGTTAAATGTGTGTGTTCCACTGCTCCACAGAGGCGACTACCGCACAGGGAAGCGTCTGAACATGAGGAAGGTGATCCCCTACATCGCCAGTCAGTTCCGTAAAGACAAGATCTGGCTGAGGAGGACCAAGCCCAGCAAGAGAGAGTACCAGATCTGTCTGGCTGTGGACGACTCCTCCAGCATGGTGGACAACCACTCCAAACAGGTGAGAGAGCCCTGTTATATAATATTACATGCTTCCTGAGACTTGCTCACAAAATTCTCTTTTCACTGGATGTCACACTAGAGCACCTTTTTGCCACTGACAGGCTCAAGGATCCCTACAGAGAGAGACCTTTAATTTAACCACAAACAGCTGTAATATCACTTTCACTCTCCACCAGACTCACCAGAAACAGTCATATTACCTCACAGGTTATTCTAGTCTCCCTTCATTCAAAGTGAACAGAAACAAAATTAAACTTACCTAAACAGTCTTTGTTAGTTTTTCCACTATGGTTGGTTGAAATAAATCTTTAATTAGTTTCAGTCGCTCTAGCGCTACCCAGCTGCACCACGGAGCAGACCGCTAAAAATGGACAACAAACACAGAGAGGCTGCGATAGCAACACAGGCAGAGGGAGTGTGTACATGACTCCACTGTTCTTTACATCAGAGAATAGTTGTTTGCTGGCTCCTAGCAAAATAGAGTTGCAATATGTACAAATCAAACGTACTGTTGTGTCGCTCCCCTGTGTGTGTGTGTGTCTGTGTGTGGTGCAGCTGGCGTTTGAATCCCTGTCAGTCATCATCAACGCTCTCACTCTGCTGGAGGTTGGACAGGTGTCTGTGTGCAGGTAAGGTTATGCAAGTACAATGTGATGCCATAAAGACAGAACATATTGTGCAGATTAAATTATGGACCCAGGTAAGAAATATCTGGACCTCAGAGCTTAAACAGAAAGTACGAGTGGGAAATTGAACACACTGAAATGTACCTTTTTGATGTCTTACTGTGCATACATGTATTTAATGTGAAGCTAACGCCTGCTCCTGTGTGCAGTTTTGGCGAGCAGGTGCAGCTGCTCCACCCCTTCCAGCAGCAGTTCAATGATGAGTCGGGGGCTCGGATCCTCAGACTCTGTCAGTTCCAGCAGAAGAAGACCAGAATAGCACAGGTGAGGTTTTTCTTTGTACAAACAGATTACATTGACTTACATTATATTTCTCTTTTAATTAATAGTGAAGAGAGAAAAGGCAATCCATTATATCAACACCACAGTTCTGTATGCATGTATCATTTGAAACATGTTAAACATTTTGTTTCCCTTTTTCTTGTGTCAGTTATAAAGAGTTTGGTCTAGACCTGCTCTATTTGAAAAGTGTCCTGAGGATAACACTCTGTTATGAATTTTGCGCGCGTATACAAATTAAAATGAATTGAATTGAATTGTGTCCTGATCTGAATTTGATAATGATGTTTGATCGTGATCTGTTTGTAACTTGTGGTGAAACATGTGACTGATCATGTTAAAGTGACTCTCTCTTCATGCCTCTCCCCTGCAGTTTTTGGAGACCTCGACTAAAATGTTTCTAGCAGCACAACAGCAGATTCCTGGGTCTGTAAACTCAGGTAATGATTCACACTGCATGTTTAACGGAGAGTAGCTCAGTGATGGTGTGCTGTGCAATTTACTGACACAGTGTAACAGAAATCTTGGGTAGTGAAAGTCAAACTTGTTGCCTCTTGCTGATTTTGGGCTGTTTGCAAGCAATGCTGGCTTTGAATAGGAACCATCATGGGACAGTGTTACATTATATGAATATAATGAATATATTGCACTGGTATACTTTGCAGCGTAAAAAATTCTCTACAACATAATCCAACAGACTCAAAATTTTCAGCATTTATTTGTCAGTGTTTGTTTAGTTCACATTCAGTGCCAACTTTCAGAGAGCAGGTTCCATTTCAAATATGTGGGCTTTAGTACCTGCCTGTTAGTATGACTGCTTGAAAAGTCCATCCTGCTTGACCTGTGTGACACAGTGTAAATGGAGTCAGGGCCCAGATTGTATCCGATACCCAACAAACAAGCCTTTAGTGGGGCACCAGAGACGAGGAAGTCCCAGGATCAGAGCCAGGTGCTCCGAGTCATTGTCCAAGCTATAAAACCCCTGGTGGAGCTAACGTTTCCTTTTCATGGAGCTGGCATACAGGCAGCATTATGAGTTAGTTCAGCCAGTAGTGAGTCACATATCCATCCTGCCGATGTGACTTTCAGTCAACACAAAAGGCGCATTGGCAGTTGCTCAATGTAATATTGATGTGAGAACACGTAGCTAGCCGGCCAGCTAGCTCAATGTTACGTTTGTTACATTCGTAACATTGTGAGAAATTACGCTAATCAGCTAAAAAAAGACATGGCTGGCTGGCCTCAAGGCGCCCCCAGCCCCTGACGCATGTGGTTCTTGGTTCTAGACCAGCAAAGTGTTGGTGCAATGCTAGAACAACTTTTCCTGGCCAAGAGCCTGTTCTTTGGCTCTGGAAACATGAAAAACTAGTTTGATGGCAGGCACCGGCTCTGAAAGGGCCCTCAAACTGCCTTGGTGAAAAAGGGGTATCAGAGGTCTGGAACCAGACTAGTCTCACTGACTTACAGGGAACTTGCTTACTTACAGTGAATTGTACTCCAGGGTGTGTCAGTACTCTGTGATATCACTGTCGGGTGTTGAACAGATGTATTGTATACTACTTTAACTGCATGACTAGTCGAATGATATTATATCACTCTCCACTGTTCCCCTCTGACCTCTGAGCTCTCTCCACAGAGACAGCCCAGCTGCTGGTCGTCGTGTCTGATGGCAGGGGGTTGTTCCTAGAGGGGAAGGAGCGGGTGATGGCGGCTGTACGGGCAGCACGCAGTGCAAATGTGTTTGTCATGTTCGTAGTGCTCGACAACCCCAACTCGCGGGTAAGTGAAGAAGAATTGTTTTTCATTTTCTAACTCTCAGACACAGAGAGTAACTTAACTGTGGTGCTCTGCTGCAGGACTCCATCCTGGACATCAAGGTGCCTATATTCAAAGGGCCGGGAGAACTGCCAGAGATCCGCTCCTACATGGAAGAGTTCCCCTTCCCCTTCTACGTCATCCTGCGAGATGTCAACGCCTTGCCGGAGACCCTGAGCGACGCACTCAGACAGTGGTTTGAACTCGTCACGGCAGCCGACCAGTAGACCAATTAGAAGCCATCTTTCACAGGAAGGGAGGGGAGGGGAAGCAACCAACTGCACAATGCCACCCTGCTGCTAGCCTCTCAGCCACGACTCAGAAGGAGGACTCAAAAAAAGAAACGAAAAGACGGACTTGCCGCTGTACATGTGCCTTTAATTTCTTATTTCTTATTACTGTAGATTTTAGTAGAGTTTGATAGCAACCTTTGCTGTTTTGTCCTTGTTATCAGGGGAATTCTGTTTATTTTGTAATGTAACGAGAATTGCTTTAACTTGCACGTCTGAGATGAAATGATAGAAACAAAAATGTGATTCCCTTGCGTGTGAAACACCTCAGTGAAGAGTCAGTAAATACCTCTGTCCCAATTGTACGATAGTCCTCAAATCATGTTGTGTGGATGTTGTAGTCAGTGTTACAAATCATTTATCTTCAGTGTTAACACGACAACAGACGGAGTGGAGCTGTTGGACCGTGTTTTAACAGAACCCTTCCTGACGTCACGACCTTACAGTAGCATGTCGGTGTGGTCACGACTGACATTCAAAGGAGCTCGATAACGTGCCTTGGAGAGGAGGACAGTATTGCATCTCACCACACGCCTGAATGAGCTGTTGGGGTGGAGGGTCAGAGGTCACAGCTCTGTCAGGGTTTTTAGAAATTCAGCTGCACTTTGAAGCACAGGGACTGCAGATTCCAGTTTTGATAAAAGCCGCCAGTATAACCCATTTTTAGTGGTTTAAAGACGCATATCTGCTGTTCATCTTCCACCCACACTGTGTGACTTCTGCTAAATGAGAGCTCGTCACTGAGTCCTTTAGGAGTAGGAGTAGGTGTTGGTGAAATGTGCGTTGAGATGTTCATTATCACCTCTGTGTTTTGTAATGTGGACTTACATGTGAGCAGACATCGGTCATATTTCTTCATTGCATCCATCTGTTAAACCATGACATGAATGATCCTGACAATAAACAGTTTACAAGGTTGCTCCGTCAGTGCTTGAGCTCACCGTTTTACAGCAGACATTTTGATTTAACGTTCAGACTGCAGGCTCAAATGACTCAGATCACATTTTGTATGAACAGCACAAATCACATTCTTTTTAGTTCTTTTTATTTCATAACAATTTGAAATGTATTATCTTGGAAATCACTAAAGGACAATTCAACATTCAACCGCTGTTTTTAGACAGTAAAAAAGCATTAATATGAAATTATTTTAGCATGGGATATTTTTAAATGTGTTATGAACAATAATGAATGATAATGAGTTTTACATTTTGTAGCAATCCGTTGTAATAACATCAGCTGACTTCGCTACCTTTACCATAAAATGAGCTTGTGTCTTAAAATATTGATTTGGGGCACCAAGTTCAACAGACTTTTCAAGATAGTGATTCGAAATGTGTCAACCGAACAGCTGAACAGGCCATTAAAGGGTTAAACTGTTCTATGTGTTCAATAAATTCCCAATTTTTAAAACCAATCATTTAAATACATAGAATTCTTTTATTCAAGTAATACACTTAATATCCCAGGGAGCTGTCCCTGGGATATCTAGCATTTATGCACAGTACTGGGACCATCAACCTGGTAAAAGTAAATGGAATGGGTCCCCTTCCAGTGTCACACTAGAAGGATTTGGACATTTTTAATGAGGTAGAAGGGTTAGATGACTTTTTTAAGGATTTTAATGTGGGACATATACTTGTTTTATTATTGTTAAAAGCAGACTATTTGTATATGT